TTTGGGAATGTCGGGCCAAGGTGTACGAGAGGCAAAGTCAATGCTTGGGCGTATATATTCTCAAATGGACTTTTTTATGCTGTGGACTTGCGCCAGCATATTCTGAAATGGACTTTTTGCAGTAGACTTGAGACCTTATAATTGCGATGTCTCTGCCAGAGATCCGCGTGTGCTGGAGACTTTCTGCACTTCGAAGTTTGCAGGCTTTATAGTATGGAGGCCACTGGCGAAGAAAAAAAATCACAGCCCGATCAACAAGAGAAGCCAGACGGGTGCCGCATTCTACGCTCACGTGTTGCACTCGATTAAAAGGGTTGCTTTTCTCATAGAACTAGCGCTGCTTTTCATTGTAACGTCGTTTCGAGAATCCTGCCGTCGAGCTGCAGAAGCAGGATACAGGGAGGAGGCGCCGGCAACGAAGGCGGGTTTGCGAGACAGGAGCGAAAACGTAACGCCTATCCGGTGAGTTGTTTACGTTTTGTTAAGACCCGCGCATGCGCAGATTCCCTTCCGTACCTGGTAACACAGTAACGTAAAGAAGTATAGTACAAGCTGTACGTACAAAAAGAAGCGCCCAAGTTTTCCACCTGGTTAGTTTTTCGCACTCTGGATTAATATTGTGCAACACATGGACCAACTGGCATCACCACTATAGGTGAGATACTGAGAGACTCTGCCGCTGTGTTTGATGAAACAATGGCGTGTGACAAGGGACCGTCGACTGTGCGTTTTATGTTTAACCCTGAAGTTCTGCCAATAAGCGTGAAAGCAAGGAGGGTTCCTTTTGCACTTGAACCAAAAATCAACTCCGAACTGAACAAACTGGTATAAAAACTGCTGGAGCCAATTGATCACGCTCGTTGTGAAATTCCCATTGTTACACCACTGAAGGCAAACGGAGACGTCCGCATGTGTGCAGACTATAGCTGCACAATCAATAAAACCCTGAAGCAGCACTTGTGCCAGCGGCCAGCGGGCATGGCTCTCTGGTGCAGGTGTTTTTGCAAAGCGAGATTTGGCACAGGCCTTCAGGCCTGTGCCAAATCTCGCTTTGCAAAATCTCTGTGCCAAGTAGATGCCTGTGCATCTACAGACGCACAAACAATTGTGACTGATCATGGTGCTTTTCGTGTTCACCGATTACTTTACGGTGTCACTGTCGCGCGTGGCACTCTCCAGAGATTAATGCACTCAACGCAATATCCACCTGAGCAGTACAGATCTTGTGTCTTCATTCAGTGGTATCCATGAATCATTCGTGCGATAGGCATAGCTAACGGGTTTAACGGGGATGCCCATGCGGAGCATCAGCATTCCCTAAGTTGATAAAATAATTTGGTATTTGTATTTTTGTACCCGTGTTTTTGTATCTGTATTCCGGAACATTTTTTCGTCTTTTCTGCAAAAATATTTCGGAAACATCCCGTTATAACAAACTCAAATGTATCTCATCACGTCTGTATTTTAGACTTCCTGCGCAAGCATATTCCCGAATATTTTCTGACGAACGAGGACAACCTCATGGTTGTTGTGAAGCTTCCTTCCGTCTCGCGCGTCACAAGAGCAGTTTCGTTATCGCCCAACAGCAAACGAGAGAACAGCGTGTTGGCCGATGTGTACGGCTTTTCAGTGGAGGGAACGCTGGAAGTGCCTCGACAGCGCATAACAAAAACAGCCATCTAGGATAACAAAACCACGTTATTCGATCCTTCGGTCTTTCTCGATGGCTCGTCCCTATAACTGGAATGCAAAAAAAAAAAAACGGGTTCAAGGATTCAACTAGACATAATTCTTCTATTGTGAAATCGAAAGCAGAAAAAGAAAACGAACGCAGCAAGAAGAAAACGTGTCTGAAGTTCTTCGAAGGTCGCAGGTTCGGTTCCCAGCAAGCTATCTTTTCATTTCTTTCGTCACATCTACTACTAATAACATCTCTTATACTTTCCTTTTCATCATTTTGTGTTATTTCGCATTATTATTGCGTCGACCAAAGAAAAACGAGACCTTCATTTTTCACTTTGATTCAATCGTAACTTATGACAGCCATAGAGAGAGATGTTTTAATCACAAGCTGAAGATGTTGACCAGCCGACATGGCATATAAGAAGTGTTATATGTGTTTGATAGTCCTCTCAATGGTATGATTAATCGCGTGAAAGTGATCCACAGTAGAGGGCCCTTTTCTAAAGCCGGATGGGTTGGCTATAATCCTGTTCTGAATCATGTTTAGGAGTACATGGCTGATAGTACTTCTTCAAGTCTTTCACGTCCCTCTTTGTGTTTGTCAGGAGAATATTGGCGTTTTTCAAACTCTCTGATACATGCGATATTGAAGGCATTATTTTCTTAGAACAACAAACTTTTTGAGCGTAAGATATCCTTAATCTTTACCCATATGGGCAGTTATGCCGTCTTCCACAGCCTTGCGAAATAATGTAAGATTTATGTACAAATTAGCAATTTCTCGGAAAATTCCTGACACATACCTACGTACATGAGTCCACCGCGGTGAGGTGCTTGCCCGAAGGTTCTATTTTGGCCGTGGCATTTCGGTGCAGTGTTAGTAATAGTTCCTTATTGACAATACTCACAATACTGAGCTCACTGCAAGGACAAGGGCAAACAGCCTCTGACAAAGGCCCCTCTACAGGCCCAAATTTCCGGAGTCCTCCACTACGGCGTCTCTTATAATCATACGATGATTTCGGGACGTAACGCCCGAGATAATATTAAAGGTTCATAAAATACCTTGCAACCACTACGTAAGCTTCCCCTACGACTGAATCAACAGTTGGTTCTCGTAAATAGCGCGGTCGGAAGACGAAGAGTGGTATTTTGCCATCGCGAAACCAACGACAAGAGTGAGGAGCAACTGACACTCTAGCAGGGTTTCACCACAGGGTTGATTTATCAGGCTAACCAATGCGCTGCCTTTAGCGATCAGCGCCAATAGCACGCACAAAAGCCCTCGCCCCTTAGTTGTGACGACTCAACTGTCAGTCAACGCAAGAACAATGTCCCGAAGGTACGGGGGTGTTTTTAGAGAACGCCGAGAACGGCGTGGGCCTGGCAGCTTTACATTCAGGAAGACATGCAGGCTGGGCGAGTTGATGGCGTTCCTTGGTAAATATAAGAAGTGACACACACAGCGCTCTACTTCCAACTGGTTTATTGAAAAACACGTACATTTTTTGCAGGCGAGCGCGCATGCTCAAAGATGATTCTGTCAAAACATCACGCACAGCCTCGTGTGAGCTTCCTAGCCAGCCCCGTTTAAGAAGCCCATTCCTTTCGATGATATCGCCAGGGAAAGTTGGCTAACGCAATCACTCACTTTTCGAGTTAGCCTCAGCCACGGGACCATTATGCACAAACAAGTCATCTGTGTCAACAACAACAACAACAACAACAAAAAACGGCACACACTCACATTCAAAGCAACAAGCTCGTTGACTTATTTTCTAATGAATTCTTCTGCTGCTTCACTTATAAATTACACTGGCCTGTTTGTCCTATATATGTACGGACAAAGGTATGTGGTACAAGACTGCCATATCACATGAAACAAACTTGGTTACATGTTTTGTTTAGCAGTCTGTGATACTTCCCGATTCCTTCCTCTGAACTGCGGCTCCCAGCTTGCTCACCTCATCAGGAGCACACATGTGAACGCCGTACATACTTTCCGAAACTTGTGCGCAAGAGAATGCGCAATACCGCTACCTTTCGATCACTCGTGTTGCTAGGTGATCGAAAGTAGAGGCCAGGTATGGCGCTCATATCTCTGCTCCTAACGAAGTGAGCGGTGCAGTCGAGATGCGCGCTGAAGGTGATCGCTGTTTCCCGCGCAAACATTGAATGACGTCCATTCCTTGCCAAAAAAGAACGGGACAGCTCGCCAAAGAGTGAACGTAACTATGTGCACGAAACTACCTTAGTAATTACGTTTGTGGAGCTTATTAATTAACGGTAGGGTATTACTGAGAATTCTGACAGACTTTCAGTGGGCAGGAGCAGTCCCGGCCCAAGGAAAGTCATCTTTTCTTTCTTCACAATTACGATACAGTTACTTGCAGTGATCTATAACATTGCACCTAACTAAGAAAACCAGCATTCAACGGCAGGGGTTTAGCGTCATTACTTCGGAGAAAAATAGTGAAATCACCAAATGCATCCTTGATGTGCGTATTCACGTAAACGGGCAGCATACATCGAGATATTTTTTTCAACTCAGACTTTTTTTTTTTTTTTTTTCATTTTCTGGTCAATTTAAGAGGAGTAGCCCAGCTGAATTCTGGCCAAAAGTATCTGGGTAAAGCGTGGTTTGCTGATATTCACTCGCTTGAAGTGACGCACTGCATGGCAGCTGCTAAGCTTCAAAAATTCTGCCGGGCAACGCAAGGGCGGAAGGAAAACAAACAAGCCGCCGCCGGGGCGCGGCCCGATGAGCGAGCCCCTCTCCTCCTCAATAGGAGGCGCCCACGTGCAGCGACCTCCGCGAGCGAGCTTTGGAATGCCGCCGCCCGTGGTGCTCGATGGTCGTCAACACCGATGCGTTCCAGCACTAAACGCTACCGTAACACGCCCCTGCAGGAACACGGTATCCGACAATTAATTCAACGAGTCCGTTCAACACTGATAATGGAAATGAGCAACCGAGTGAACGGCAAGCTCAGCGTCAACCAAACATCTTGACGGGAATGAACGCTAGCTTTCGAATAACGCGGGCAGATATCCTCGTCATACGGCGCAAGTATGAAGGTGAGCTGGAACGCGTATAAACAAACTCTCTCTTCGCGTCATCTGCTCTATTTGGGTGATTGCATCCACAGCCACACCTGTTGTGACGCGGTTTCTAACGCGCTTATTTTTTTCTCTCCTGCCTCATATGATAAGCGATTCAGTAAAGGAAGCACGTAATTCTTGAGATACTCGAGAAGAAGAGTTGGGCGTCACTCCTGAGGTGGCAGGCAGCCTTCTCAACTGCAGAAGACACTCACCTCCGAGGAGCGCACAGAGTAGCCACGGCCATGCTGAGGCGGTCATGCTTAAAAATCGGACGTCGTCGTCAGGGCAGCGGCGTCGACGCTTCAACCGCAGTCAACGCGCACACTCACGGCCCGTACTTACAACGCCCTAGTGATCCATTTGCTCCGTCGGTGCGTTTATAAGCGACCGGCTCCCCGTTTTTCTTCCCGGGCGGAAAGGGCGCCCTCTACGCGCCCGCCAGTCTTGGATGTGACGTGGCGTGACGTCGAAGAGAGGCCACCGTTCCGAAACCAGACGAGGACCAGTTCCGGCTGCGCCCGCTCGTCGCCGCCGCCGGTGCGCGTACTTGCTCCGACGCGGATCTTGCAATGCGCAGCGGACGCCAAAGGATGTCGTCGTGGGCGGCCTCTTGGGATTTGCGTAACGACGCGCTGGCTCGTGTCGACACGCTGTTACGCACCATCCTCCCAGCGGTTCGAACCTGCGGATGCGAGGGCGTCGCTTTAGGAGTTGCGCCCGTGAGTGTGTCTCCTCCTTGGTGCCTCTTCTCGGCAAACCGTCCGTGCTCGCGTATAATGAATGCAATTCAGTGACCATCTATACTCGCGTCAAATGTTTGCGAGTATATCAGCTGCCCCTGTTCCTTCTCTTAAAAGGGCACGACATCGCGAAAGAGTCATGTTTGTTTTGTTTTATGCAGTTTAAACGCTCTCCACACACCGGAATCAGACATCACGTATAACGAAATATTTTGCTTTGTGAAGAAACCCCCAACACCCGTTCGCTGGGCCGGTTGTTCTATTTGTCCTCTTCGTATTTTTTGTCTTCGCCCTAGCCCAGCACGCGCCCGAGTGGCGTTGTCATCCGCCTCTCAATTCATAACACCTCTCAACGAGACCTACCTCCTTGTAGACCGAACCTTAGCTACGCAAGTACCCTACTCGTACACCACGGACATGGTCCTTCCTCTGCGCACGACCGACCACCCGGTGAATTTACTCAATGTTTATTGTAAGCCACATTCGATGACATTTTCAGCAAGGCACTGAAGCTCGCAGGGCATGACCCCCGTTTAGTAGTGTGGCGAATTCAACGCCCCTAGCAGGCTTCGGGGCAAGAAGGAGGTGCGGGAAGGAATCTGTAACTTGGGTATTACTCTGCGCAACCAAGTCGTGTAGGTAACTCTGTCAGCCCTGCCTCGACCTAACCTTCACGATAAACGTTAGGCACGCACACTGGCTCAATACCGCGGAAATCCTCGGTAGCGGCCACTGTGTTCTCAACACTGCACATGACCCCTGCAATGCCCCACCGCACAGGCACAACGCGGAAGACTTCCGGCAGTTCGCACCTGCCGCTCCTGATCGTTTTTTCCCAGTGGGCCGACTCTATGCTCCAAACATTAAGACAGCATGAGACCACGATACAAATCACGAACACTGATATGAATGTACATAAACATCTCCTCCGTCTTTTGGAGGCCCGTCGCGGCCTCCCGAAGAGATGGCGTCGGCAAAACACAACCGCGAACTCCGCATGTGGATACTGCAGATCTCACCAAGAAGGCGGCTGTGTACGCCGACTCAAATAGAGCGTATCACTCTAATACTGCCATAACGCAAATGTCTAGCCACAATAAAGTTTTCCGTAGTCTCATTCACCTCTTCAAACAAACACAAAAACACCGAGCCTTTCATAAAGTCTCGTCTCCGCAGCCCTTTGAGTATGGGGCCGATATCTTTGCACTCAGTAGGACCCGTGGGGCTTCGCTATACAGGTTGGCAGAATTCGGCACTTGATGCTCACTTCCAGTTACACAACCATCGCGCCGCTCTTGAGGCAGGATACGGCTCCCGGGCGAGACCAACTCACCGTCAAATCATAGCGAATCTATACCCGACGCAGGACAGTCACTGCTCGACTATATTGATGCGATCTGGTTCACCCCTCCCTTTTGATTAGAAAACGTCTCTTTATATCAGGGCAAACCCATCAACACTGGCGATCTCTTTTCTCATCTTGTACGGGGATCGTCTTTCTACATTTTCGCTCACTCTGTTTGGCTTCAGACCCGATAAATCGTCGCAGGACAGCACACTCTTACAACTACGCCACGAAGTACTTAATCCCGTAGAACGCCCTCTTAATGACAAGTTCATTCTCACGCTTGACCCTAAAGGAGTTAATGTGAAGCACCAAGTCATCCTATAGCTGACCTGAGTGCCATTAAGATCGACGAGCGCGCCTTCAGCTACATCCAAAATTTACTCTCTGACCGAGCTGCGTACATTCGCATATAAGATCAGGAATGCAGCCCCTTTGCACGTGATGCAGGGCGCTGTTTTATCACCTATGCTTTTCAACTCAACTATATGGCGCAGCTCCCGGCCTGTTTGGCTGCTGCAAGAATGCACTTTATGTCGACATCACCTTACGGGCCACAGAGGGAAGCCTGGACAGCTTGAAGGACAGCCTGCGAACTGCAGCCCATATATAGTGGACGATTATGCGGCCTACTATGTTCTCCACAGAAGTCTGAATTCACATTCTGGCTGCGCAAAAATGTATACCTCGTCCGTTAACCTTTTTTGCGCAGTGTACCTATTAACAAGGCACAGGAGATCAGGCTTTTTGCTCTGCATATTCACAAACACCGCAGGGTCGAGACAACACTTCACAAGATCTGTAAGGTTGAAGAACAGGTCAGCCACATGAGGTCTCCAACAATCGTGGGGAAGACGGGGGTCTCAAAAGTGCTTCGTCTCGCACTTGCTCGTGTCGCATCTTGTACGCGACTCCTTACTTGCTCTTACGGAAGCATGGTGAACATTCTTTGGAGGTCACCCCGTAGAGTAATATAAAGAAAGAGGTGACACTCCTATAGGACACTGTGGCTCATTTTGGTCCGCAGCGCACCAAACGGGCGTGGAGAAACTTTCGGCCTCGGAGATGGGCACCGCAGAAACGGTGATCTTCAAGACCGTTTTCTAGCGATTAGAAAAATTGCACAGCCTCCAAGACCACTTCTGTGAGTGGTCTTGTGTCTGAGGCAATACATGAATTTGATTAGTTTCGTGTAAGCTGCACCATCAGAGCGGCAAGCGCACGATGCCACTGTGTGTCTATGCACACATTTAAAATGGATCATGTTAATCGCTGGAAGAGCGTTCCGTGTTCAAGACATATTCTTGGTAAGCACATCTCCACTTTCTTTCTCAATGCTTGATGAACGCGGGCACGAAGAGAGAGGTTCATTGCACTGCAGGGTGCGGCAACACAGCTGCCATATCATGAGTGTAGATTGCACTGAAGAAATAAACATATAGGCGATGTTATGAAGAGAACAACAAAACAGTAAGACTGCAGTAAACGCACAACTCTACACATACAGTGCACAACGCAACACGGCTGTAGTTGCCACCGCACGTGACTCCGGACGACATGAATTTAAAAAGAAAAGAAAAAAGTTGGAAACATTTTTTGCCCGCCTTCGCGCAAATTTTCTTCTTCGCACTTTGCATCGCTCTTTCACGAAAAACAATCAGTTGCCGCAGCTAAAACAAAGCAATTTTAGGGGCCATGTGAACTGTAGGAATGTTCATTCAGAAGATCACGTCGTAGCTTTAGCTAACAAACATTGTTCTACATTCGCCACTTCTCTTTTATTGAACTGGTTACAAGAGCTTCAAGCAATCTCCTAACGCAACCGGTAACGACACTAAGCACAACTGCACTTTTCACACAATATCACACGCACTGAATTGGAATACATGTAACGGCACAAATAAAATCTAACAACGCGAGCGGCGACTCACTTTCTTCAACCAAGAAACGATTTTCTCGTAAACGTTCATGCTGCGCAGCATTCCGAACAGATTTTTTTTTCTTTTCCTGCGAAGCAATCCACGAAAATCATACCCGAAGTGAAGAGCACAAAAAAAAGCTCTCCGCCGCACAGCATAATGCGACAATAGTTAGCTTAAGGCTTCAAAGACGTATGCAATATGCACTTTACCTTGTAATCACGGCTTTAGTAGCTAGTAGTAGCCAAGCTGACAGTGGTGTAGCCAAGAGAGGGGGGGTAAGTACTTGGGGGGTTGAACCTCTCGCCCTGACATTTTTTGAACGAGCCCCTTCCCCCCGTGCCACTTACCCACCTTTTTTCTCGTCACTGACATGGTTTACAACTAAGCGGTGCTACTTTAACAATGCGATTACTGGGTGCTTTTACAGTAAAAAAAATTGGTTCCAAATCTGCATGTTACACCGCAAATGTCGTCGAAAGATGATAGTCTTTCGTCTGGAGAGAGTGAACAAAACGTTTATTTGATGTTCTGCGCAAGAAAATCAGTGAATGGTATTCTGGAGGCACTGCGTTAGAGTGCCTCGAGCGTGAAGCGGAGGTGAACGAGCGCATCGAGGCACGTTAGACACAAGCGCCATCTGGCAGTTATCTTCGAAAACGAAGGCGCGCGCGACCGCGGAGAAAGATGCGCGCCAGTCTCGGAGATGATAAGGTGTAGAACGCAAAGCGGCGGGCAGGTGCCACCACCGTGACGTCGTAGCAAAGCGTTGGAAACACCTTTCTCAGCATCGCGTTGCACTGTCAGCGCAGCGCGAGAAACGATACATTCCTTAGAGCTACTTGTGTGTGCCTGTTCTAGTATAAAGGCAGACATACAAGACATCGAAGCGTTGCTGTGGTGCCTCAGATATGCGCAATAATTGCTTTTTTAATTTACAATTACACAGTTATGAACGCTAAACCTTGAGCAAACTTAAATAGCGTGATAATAAATGCAGTGTGAACAGCTATAGTGAGCAAAAGTTTTATTCTTCAGCAGTGTGCTCACACACACACACACACACACACACACACACACACACACACACACACACACACACACATATATATATATATATATATATATATATATATATATATATATATATATATATATATATATATATATATATATATATATATATATATATTGTTAAGGCGTTTACTAGCCGTCAACGAGCGAGAATATGTAATGGCGACAGTCACAGCCAAGCACGGGCTCCCAGCGCGAGCGGCGTCCTTGTTGGGTAGCCCCACTAGAAGGTACTCAAGAGTTTGACCCATTTCATAGTTCGGAGGCTTCGCTACAATTACCCCGGGGTCGAAGAGGGAGCCGCCTGGCGACCTAACAGCTTGTCACT